TTCCCCTTAAAAATAAAAAAAAAATTTTGGGTTGCCCCCCTTTAAAAAAAAAAAAAAAAAAAAAAAAAAAAACACAGGTGAAAAACCATACAAATGTGATCAATGTCCATATGCAACTTTATTAAAAACTCACTCTCAGATCAGTAATGATAATATTTAGAATATTTCTCCTGTGTGTACTATCAAATAATACATGGGGCATACCCAAGGAGAAATATCGTGGAGAAGGAACTGGACAATGTTACTAGATTGAAAGATTTTTTTAAAAAAAATCGATAAAGCGTTTGTGTGTGTTGAATATGGCTAAAACTATGACAAATTCAAATGTTATTTATGAATTACGACAAACACCATTGAGACGTTTACACATCAAAATGGTGATCTACCATATCGTGAAACACGATCTAATGTTGCACCATATTGTCATAGGATTGGCCATCGGATTTGATAAGTTTATCAAATAAACTTGTTGAAATTTCAAATGCAGCCAATGCTGCAATTTTTGCAACAGTGGACAACGGTCGTCAACTGCATTGCACTAAAAACTTTAGTTTTGTTGAGATATAATTTGTTAATACAATCTTTTCAATTAAATCTTAATAATTTAAATAATAATTTTATTGTGGGAAAGTGCGTCATCCAACAGGATGTTTGCACCATTTAAAGAATGAAGAATTAATCGTCTTTTCGACTGTGAAGAGCAGAATGTTTTATTAGAAACAAAATTGGAGCAAATCAAACAAGAGCAAGATGGATATGCCAATAAACAGGTAGAAATTAAATCTTAATAAAATCATTAAAGTTTTTGTCCAATCCATTTATCTTGCTGAATATTTCTCCAGTGTGTACTATCAAATAATACATAGGGCATAGGCAGACCCAAGGAGAAATATCGTGAAGAAGGACCTGGACAATATTACTAGATTGAAAGATTTTTTTTTAAAAAAATCGATATTCTATATCTGTGTAGTATATGGTTAAAACAATAAAAAATTCAAATGAATTTCGGTCAAACACACCATTAAGACGTCTACATCAAAATGGTGATATACCATATCGTGAAACACGATCAAATGTTGCATGCAAAGTGATTTTGTTTTTGTTTTTTTTTTTTTTTTTTTTTTTTTTTAAAATGGGTATGGGGTTCAAAAATAATAAAAAAATTTAAAAA